TAAAACTAAGGTCCGCACCTTCTTTTTATATCGTCAACTCCTCACTTTAGCGGCTAATTTCCTTCGGTTAGTGACGATTTCCAGCTTGTAGAACAAAAGACGTTAGCCAATGTTTTTAACTGTATGAAACGTTGCCAGGATTATATTTATTAGCAATCAAGATGTTCGTATATAATAGCTACGACACTAGAGAATTTTTGTCTGGATAACCATTTTGACGAATAATGAAACATTACCATATAACTTACATTAAAGTTAAGTATTTTTCCCGATGTAACAAGTCAAAATATATTCTAGTGAAAACCTCAGCAGACTCAAATGACAACTTCAGACATAATTTGCGGTAAAACATACAGCATCGCTGTACATTCACTCCAGACATACTGCGCTATCCTGGGAACCACAGAACCATCCTGTGACTACATTACAAACAAATAAATGTAATTAAAATATATTGATGTCGCGGTAAAATTGACAGTTTTACTACAGATTTAAAGTAACTTTTCCACACATGAAGTCTTGATTAGGTGATGAGATTAGAAATACTTTATGTATTCTATATTTAGGGAAATATTTTTGTTACACCTGTGAAAAGACTGATGATATAATAATCATAAGAAGAAGAATATTTGGCAGATGACTCTGCCAGACAGATGTATTCTATTATAGAGAGTGAAAGCATACAATATGAAAGATTTCCTGCATGTGTGTTTATGGCAGTGGAGTGAATCAGATATCCAGTTTCTAACTAATTCCAAAGCCAGCCTTCCTAATATGTTTCTTGACGCTTTCTTGATGTCACCAGGTCTCATGCTGGCCCCCCAGCAGACCACAGCAATGCTGACAGATTGAAAATCTCCAAGTTTTTGCTGCACACATTGAAGGATCTCAGCTTTCTGCGCTTCCCCATTTTATATACACTCTCTGTGCTGGTTTTCCAGTTCAGCCAGTTGTCGATGTGGGCGCTCAGGTACCTTTTACTCCCCTACCACATCACCATACTGAAGAGACAGGCCTCCCAGACGACGCCACGAAATCATCCAGGAGTCTTTTGGACATTATTTCATACATCATAGTTATTTCAGGAGTACTTTGTTCTGTTATCTCCCATTTATATTTTGTATAATAATAAAAGTGGGACCAAATGGGACCCAGTAAAATATAGCAGTGAGTGTTTTTGGTCTATGTGCTTTCCAGGAAGTTTAATGTTCTGAGGAGGACAGCGTCTGTCTAAACAACAAAAAGCAGAAGAAGAAGAAGCACCATTTAGCTGCCAGTTAAAAAGGAAGGACCAGGATACGGTGTCAGAAAAGAAAATGCGATACTGTTCGTTTCTTCAGACGATAAGTGATAAGCTGTACCCAGTTCATAAAGCATGCAGATTGTTCATGTTGAGTCTAAGCAAGTCTCCTGATTATCTAGTAAACAACAGCACCCTCTGCTGTTCCTAAAGAAAATTGACAGAGTTTCAAGTGTAACGTCATTGCTGGTTCAGCTGGGGGCAAGGTTGCATCATTAACCACAAGCTGAAATCAGTGCAGAGCACTAAAGCATGACAGGTTACATCCAAAAACTGAAGCTTGGTGCCGCTCCTGCTTCGCTAAAACTCATTTTAAGCCTCTGATGAGTCGAACCACTGAGATCACGTGATCCAGCTTTGCTCGGGGTCGAGGAGCTGAGGGGTCAGGGTATGGGAAAAAGGAAGTGGGGATCTTTTTGGACACCAAATATCCAACTGTAGTCCTTACACTAGAGACGGCTTTTGATCTGACCACAGGCTTGGACAGTGTTGACACAACCAAACTAGACCCCGCAGTTGGGGGCAGGAAACTGCGTCCCCTCTCCACTTTCTCATGATTGAACACTGATGTTGCAAAAGCACATGAAGTCTTCAATCAGGGTAAATAACTGCACTCGGATGCCTTCTCTTGAAGCCACGACAAAGAGAGAAACTTGTCAAGACTCTCAAGTACACACACGCACACATCCTTTGGGGATGAAAGAAAAGTGTCAGCATCACGGCACAGTCTTACCCTTAAAGGAGGGAAGCAGTCGGGCCATTCCTGGGCCAGAGTAGGAGAGAAGACAGATAGCATCTTGGGAATCTGTATACAGTGATGTGAGTCATGTGTGCAGTGTGTAGTACCTACGTATGCCTAACATTTATCGCAGGGAGAGTGGTGTTTATAGTGTCGGACACAGGCGAGCAGGCACCTGGCTTCTTTTATTGTCAAAATGCGTACTCCCTTTGGGTCTGCTTGCTGATGAGCTGTTCAGGGGTGTCAAACATAAAGCGCAGGGGCCAGAATCGGTTTGGGAAAGACTCTAATCCAGCCCACTGGACAAAATAGTTTCAGTTGTTCTGCTATTTACTACAGAAAGTATCTATACCAAATAGAAAAAAGTGCAAAAAAAGCACTTTTTCTGTAATTTTACACATTTATCAAGTTTCACTGGTTCGGTCCACTTCAGACCAAAGTGGGCTGTATGCAGCCCGTGGTGTAAAATGACTTTGATGTGTCAGTTCTAGATGGATAATGAATTTGACTACTTTTAGTCTCTACTTCAGCGCTGCTGGCAGCATTCACAAATTCAGTCTACTGTGCTGCGTAGGAAGCTTCTTTATTCATGCATATTTCTACCTAATTTCACCTGCTTTGTTTGACAGCAGGGTTGTCACTATAGCCAGGTTTTTACTATGCTTGTGAGTTTTTTTTAAATGAGATATAAATACCCACTCATTCTTATATATGATAATATTGCAAATAATTGTGTAATTGCTATTTTTGTAATCTTTTGTATAGTTTTAGTAAACACTTCCACAAACTTAGATTTTCTCCTTTTTCTAAAACAGACACCATCAAAATTGCGACGACATTATGCTGTTGTTGCTCAAGCTTTAAAAATGACGTGATTCACAAACCAGTGGGTGGAGGGGCAGTGGCTAAATCATCAGCTTAAAACAAGCTTTAAAAATGACCCAAAAGGCACAGAAAACAAAGTTACAGTCCAGTGACAAATTAGGTGTGGCGAAGCCTTGCAGGCAGCTAGTGGTTGTAAGTGTTAGAGTGGGTACCGTCTGTCAGCTTAAGCTTTCTATCTCATTATAATGGATAAAGACTTAAGAATATTCTCAGTTTTTGTGGCAAAATGTAAACATGCTCTTTTTCTGCGGTAAATCAGTGCATTTTAATGTAAAAGTCTGTGGAGTGTGGGACCAGCCGCAGCACTTTTCTCTCCCTCTTAGACAACTAAACGCAGTAACCCTTCTGTCATTTTTTCTCAACCAAGATGTTTCTGCCATGTTTCAGTCCTGCTTCTCTAACAAAACGCATGAGAAATTAATGAGATTGTTCTCACAGCTACGAGGGCTAAAGATGGAAAAACCTATTTTAATTTAATGGTCATCAAACCACATTTTTATTTCTATATCTACCGAAGGGTCAAAACTCATCACTATGGGTGAAGATGTCTGTATGTGGCAAAGAGCTAAGGGGAAGATGACAGTCATGGTACTGCTGGGGATTGAACCCAGGACCTTCTGCGTGTAAAGCAGATGTGATAACCACTACACTACAGAACCAGATGGACTGCCAGCCATTGTTTTTACCTGATGAGTTGAATCCCATGCTGCTGATTCCTTATAAATATGTGGTAATATGTACATTCTGTGCTGCAGCTTGAAGGGGATGTTAAATGATCAAAAAAATAAAAATACTGTAAAATGCAACTTTAAATCCACCAGAAGTCATTTCAGAGCAGAATATTAAGAACAAAGTTATATGAAATGAATAAAGGCACACAGCAGGCGTTTGACACTTTCCCCCTAATGCTCTTGTGTTGACAAATTGAGCCTGCTTCTCGGAGGAGTCGTTATATGACAGACCTAGTCCAGAACCCAGTCTACCTTTCTATTTACCTTTCATTTTATGCGTGACAAGTCTGAAGACTTTATTAGCCAACAGATAAATCAAAGGGATGTAGCTATCGACTAGCAGTGCCAATATCTACAAAAGAGACAAACAGAGGAAACACTGAGTGGGAACCCGGAGCTGAATGACAAGCTTTCCGATATCCCTGTGTTTGTGTTATTGGTCTCAACAGCAACCCCCCATTACTGTCTGCATGCATGCTAAGACTCTTGAATTGTCCCTGATTTCCTGCTGTGTTCAGCAGTTCACGAAGGCAGACAGTCCTTCTGTGTTACTGTCAAATTCATTTTACAGTATCCAGACCACTCAACCATTTACATCCTGAGATTACTGCTTCGGGTAGAGATATTTTCAGCTTCGGCCAGAAAACTGAAAAACGTACACAATCACATCATAAGTTATTCTGTAAATACACAATAGATAAAAAAAAATCACATCATAGATCTGAAGAAATCCAATCTCTTAAATCCCTCATGCACTCAGGGGTTGATTGCTTTAGAAGAGGTGCAGAGCTTGCAGAAGGAGGAGATTCTGCAGTCATCCAGTTAAAAGAGCCAGTAATAAATAAAGACCACACCATATATGTGCATTTCCTCTCCGTGGACTTATGGAAACACATCACCTGGAGGAGCAACCCCTTGACCTTGTCTTGTCACAGCACTCTGAGCATGAGACAACGTTCTCAGATTTACAGGGGAGGAGATGCTGCTCCTGGCTGGCCATAGTGTTTCATTTGACCATAATAGGCCTTGTAGTGGTTGAAAAAGTGTGTGCTGGTAATCAAAGTTTCCCTGAGCAGAAAGACAAGATTGACTAAAACCAAGTAGACGGAGAGAGGACTGGAGGGGCGCACAAAGGTTTTGTAAGGTATACAGAAGTACGGTTGTCATGGTGATGACGGGAAACTCTTTTGTGCTTACGAGGCAGAAAAGTGTCTCCCCCTGGGAAACAGATGTGAGGCCAATGAATCTGCTAGTCAAAAGAAATACAGCTAACCTTTTATATCCATAAATTGTAATTTCCCTCAGTGTTACGCTTACTC